TCCAAATTCCCCCACCAATCCTCTTCAAATAGGATGGCGGGTCTATCAAAACTATCACGTTAATGATTACCTCTGATAGTCCATTCCCTCCAAATTCTCTTGCCAATCCTCTTCAATAGGATGGCGGGTCCACAAAACTATCACGTTAACAGTTACCTCTGATAGTCAAACTCATCAGATAATGGCCTACCAGAGCGCGGCGTTCCGGAAGCCTTCAGGGGCATAGAATCCGAAGGGATTACTAAGGCTAAAGATTTCCTTGCCGAAATTGAGAAGCGTTTTGCGAAAAACGATAAGGTAGAAACAAGCACGCTTTTAGCTCGCTTGATTTCAATGAAGTATAAGGGCAAAGGAAATATCAGGGAGTACATTATGGAAATGTCTCATATTGCTTCAAAGCTTAAGGCACTTAAACTCGATCTTTGTGACGAGTTATTAGTGCATCTGGTTTTGTTGTCTCTTCCTGCACAGTTTAACCAATTTAAGGTCAGTTATAACTGTCAAAAGGAGAAATGGACTCTAAATGAGCTCATTTCATACTGTGTGCAAGAAGAAGACAGGTTGAAGCAAGATAAGACAGAAAGTGCTCATTTGGCCTATGCCTCTAAGGATAAGGGCAAGAAAAGGAAGAATGATAAGGAAGCTGCTAAGGGTCCAGTTGAGAAGAAACAACATAAGGATAATCAGGGTTGTTTCTTCTGTAAGAAGCCTGGACATGTAAAGAAGGACTGTACAAAATATCACGCCTGGCGTGATAATAAGGGTACGTTCCTTGCTTTGGTCTGTTCTGAGGTTAATTTAGCTTCAGTACCTAGAAACACTTGGTGGTTAGACTCTGGTGCTACTACTCACATAAGTGTTTCTATGCAGGGTTGCCTGAGCTACCGAAAGCCAAGTGATGTTGAAAGACACATCTTTGTGGGCGACGGACAATCGGTAGATGTGGAAGCAATTGGGCACTTTAGGTTGTTGTTAGGAACTGGTTATTATTTGGATTTAAAAGATACTTTTGTAGTACCGTCTTTTAGACGGAATTTGGTTTCTGTTTCTGTATTGGACAAATCAGGTTATTCTTGTTCATTTGGAAACAGTCAATTCAGTTTATCTTTTAATTCAAATGTTGTGGGAACCGGTTACTTGAGTATTTATGACAACCTATATTTGCTTGATACAATTGCTTCTTACAATGAATCCTTGCATGTGGAATCACGTGGTACTAAGCGTAAATTAAATAAGGAAAATTCGGCGACATTATGGCATAAGCGCTTAGGTCATATCTCAAAAGGTAGAGTTGAGCGTCTTGTGTCTGATGGCATTTTGGATTCCCTTGATTTTTCGGACTTCGACGTATGTGTTGAATGTATCAAGGGAAAACAGACCAAAGTGAAGAGATTAGGTGCCAACAGATCTTCGGATGTCTTAGAATTGATACATACGGATATTTGTGGGCCATTCCCTACGGAATCCTGGAATGGTCAACAATATTTTATATCATTCATAGACGATTACTCACGTTATGGGCACCTATATCTTATTCATGAAAAATCTGAGTCTCTGGACATGTTCAAAGCCTATAAAGCTGAAGTTGAGAATCAACTCAACAGAAGAATTAAAACCGTCAGATCTGATCGTGGTGGTGAGTACTACGGTAGATATGATGGTTCAGGTGAACAACGTCCAGGACCATTTGCTAGATACCTAGAGGAATGCGGTATCGTCCCACAGTACACTATGCCGGGTTCACCTAGCATGAATGGTGTAGCTGAAAGACGAAACAGGACTCTTAAGGATATGGTAAGAAGTATGATTGCTCATTCTTCTTTACCAGAGTCACTCTGGGGAGAAGCACTTAAGACAGCAGCTTACATTCTGAATAGAGTACCAAGTAAAGCAGTTGCTAAAACACCTTATGAGCTTTGGACTGGTCGAAAGCCCAGTTTAAAGCATTTACATATTTGGGGATGTCCAGCTGAGGCAAGGCCTTATAGGCCAAATGAAAAGAAATTGGACTCCAAAACAGTTAGCAGCTACTTTATTGGGTACCCTGATCGCTCTAGGGGCTATAAGTTTTATGATCCCACTATAAGGAATATTTTTGAGACGGGAACAGCAACATTCTTTGAGGATGTTGAGTTTGGGGGGAGAAATAAGGTTAGAGACATTAGTTTTGAGGAGGAATTGGCTTCAGATCCAATCCATACAGTTACTTTTGACAATATTCAGGTTCCTATACCTGTTGTTGCTCAAGAAGTAAATCCGGAACCTCAAGATGATAATGTTGAACAACTCCCTGTTCCAGAAGAACAAACTCAACAACCTCAAGAACCAGTGCCATTAAGGAGATCCACGAGAGAAAGGAGAAATGCTATTCCGGATGATTATATTGTATTTCTCCAAGAACATGAGGAAAGTAGTGGAATGTTAGAAGATGATCCAATCAACTTCTCTCAGGCCATGAAAAGTTCTAACTCTCAACAGTGGATTGATGCCATGAATGAAGAGTATAAGTCTATGCAAGACAATAAGGTTTGGGAACTTGTCCCATTGCCAGAAGGTGCAAAACCAATTGGTTGTAAATGGATTTTTAAAACCAAGCGGGATGCAAACGGTAATGTGGAGAGGTATAAGGCGCGTCTTGTGGCTAAAGGCTATACTCAAAAGGAAGGCATTGATTATACAGAGACTTTCTCTCCGGTTTCATCGAAAGACTCTTTCAGAATAATCATGGCACTTGTTGCTCATTATGATCTTGAGTTACATCAGATGGATGTTAAGACTGCATTTCTCAATGGAGACATTGATGAGATGATTTATATGGTGCAACCAGAAAACTTTGTGTCAGGAGACCCAAAGAATATGGTTTGCAAATTAAGGAAATCCATCTATGGACTCAAGCAAGCTCCTCGTCAATGGTATCATAAGTTTCAACAAATAGTTATCTCGTTCGGTTTTGAGATGAACATTGTTGATGACTGTGTATATCACAAGTTCAGTGGGAGTAAGTATATTTTTCTGGTTCTGTATGTGGATGACATCTTGCTTGCCACTAATGATATAGGCATGTTGCACGAAACCAAGAGATTTCTATCAAAGAATTTTGAGATGAAAGATCTTGGGGACGCCTCTTTTATATTAGGGATCCAGATACATCGAGATCGCTCTCGGGGTATTCTTGGATTATCACAAAAGAGCTATATCGATAAGGTACTTAAAAGGTTTGGCATGCAAGATTGCAGACCAGGTGACACCCCTGTTGCTAAAGGAGACAAGTTTAGTCTCAATCAGTGCCCTAAAGGTAACCTTGAAATTCAGGAAATGCAGAAGATTCCTTATGCTTCGGCTGTAGGAAGTCTAATGTATGCTCAGGTATGTACGCGTCCGGATATTGCGTACATTGTTGGGATGTTAGGCAGATACTTAAGCAACCCTGGTATGGATCATTGGATAGCAGTCAAAAGGGTTATGAGGTATCTTCAGAAAACAAAAGATTACATGCTCACATACAGAAAATCAGAGAAATTAGAGGTCATTGGGTATTCGGACTCTGATTTTGCTGGATGCCAAGATAGCAGGAAGTCTACATCAGGCTACATTTATATGTTAGCAGGAGGAGCTATATCATGGAAAAGTGTCAAACAAACACTAGTAGCTTCCTCCACTATGGCAGCAGAATTTGTAGCTTGCTATGAGGCATCCAATCAGGGAATATGGCTGCGAAATTTTGTCACGGGACTGCGCATTTTGGAAAATGTTGAAAGACCACTAAGGTTATATTGTGACAATAAATCTGCAGTAATGTATTCCAATAACAACAGGAGCTCAACTAAGTCAAAACATATTGACATTAAGTTCCTGGTTGTGAAAGAAAGGGTACAGAGTGGACAGATATCCATAGAGCACATTGGGACAAACTCCATGATAGCTGATCCTCTTACTAAGGGATTACCACCTAAGGTCTTTCATGAGCATACTGCTCATATGGGTGTGGTATTATTTGAGGATATTATGTTTTAGTGGGAGTTTGTATTTGTGGTGCTTTATGTTTGTTTGTATTGTCTGATCAGAATAAAGTTTTCAGTTAAGACACTCTGTTACATTATGTTTGGTTTTGACCTCACTAAGGAGGACCAGTTGAAAATAGACATGTACTGATCACATTGCATGTAATTTTCATGCTGCACATCCATGATTGATCTATGTCGTTTGATTGTATTGGTATATGTGACCATTGATGGGTCGAGTCACGATAAATGTGACGAAGGCCGCTTTGATCCTATATTGATATAGTCAATGGACGAGATTGTTCGGAAATACCATTTCAGTGATAGCAATTTTTGAGCTCATAAGGTTATACACAGTTTAAGGAATCATATGGTGCCCAAGTGGGAGATTGTTGGATTTAATCTAATAAATCTATTTGTGGGCACATATGATTAATCAATGTGTATTGCTATCTTTCAGGATAACCCACTAAAGTGATCAATTAAGTTGGGTTAATTTGGTATTTAAATAAGTCATGGGGTTATATGTGCAGATACCAGGTTGTAATTGTAATTTATTGAGGGGCTAAATTATAAAAGTACAACATCTATAAATAAGGGGTTATGGTCCCTAACCTAGGGTTACATTCTCTAATTCTCTTCACCCCCATCTAAGAGAGAAATTCGGATTTAGAGGAACCCTAAGGTTAGAAGATCCAAAACCCATCTCAAGGTTCATCCATGGATTCAGGTATAAGCTTCCGCTCTTATGATTATTGTTAATCTCTTTGAATTAATCATGGCTATATGGTTTTAGATCTCAAGTTTTATGATGTAGATCTAACATTAGTTATCTCTGATTATGAACAAAGGAATTGCTAGTCGATATAGGAGAAGTCAAGTTTTCAGTATATATGTCTCTGATGTTTTATGTCAAAGATTTCGGTATAGCTCCATTAATATGATTGCATCCAAGTTCTTTCAGACAATAATTTTTTCTTTTTTTTGTTGTGTGTGCAGAAATGTGATCCTTTTTCAGCGGAGCTATTCACCATCGAATCCGAGCTCCGAACGGTTCCTGTTCTATGCAACTCCACTTTGCCCGAAACTTCATCCCATTCTAAAGACACTACAAGAGATTTCTGCGCACAACTCTGGGACACATGCAAAGATACATCTATGCTGAACTCCCCCTTTGCACCCTCACTACAGTTAAATGCTAGGCTACCAATTCCATCTTCAAAGTTAACCGACTTTTGGCAATCCGAGACTGATTTCTGCCGAGCATTTGGCGGTCCATCAAATGATGAATCAGTCTGTTTCAATGGAAAATCGGTTCTGTTCAATACTACGCCAGATTCTCCTTCACCTAAAGGAATTTGCCTAGAGAGAATTGGAAATGGATCTTACCTTTCGATGTCTCCTCATCCTGATGGATCTAATCGGGTTTTCTTGGCTAATCAAGCGGGTAAAATATGGTTGGCAACTCTTCCAGAAGAAGGTTCCAGAGAGTTTCTAGAGGTTGATGAGTCGAGCCCGTTTCTTGATTTATCTGATGAAGTTCTTGTTGATACTGAGTTTGGGATAATGGGTGTAGCATTTCATCCTAATTTTACAAATAATGGACGGTTCTTTGTTTCGTATAATTGTGATAAAGTTCAATCTCCAAGCTGCTCCGGGAAATGCGCGTGCAATTCTGATGCAGGCTGTGATCCTTCGAAGCTTGGTCCTAGCAGTAACGGAGTTCAACCATGCCAATATCAAAGTGTTATCTCAGAGTTTACCGCTAATAGTTCATCATCCACACCTTCTAAGGTATAGATCATCGTTTTCGGGTTAATTGCAAATAGACCCCCCTTGTACTATTGCGCAATTGCGCATAACCCATGCATTGCTGTTGTTGCAGATAGACCCCCCCTGAGTGAATTGTTTTTGACTATTACCCTAAGAAAAAGAGAAATTTGTTTTTTCGACAAACAGACCTCCTGAAAGTAAAATAGTCAAAACAAATTCCCTCAGGGGGTGCTATCTTGGATTAAGCCTTGAATTTTTACTGAAAGGTGTCAGTCTCCTTAAAGTTTCTGAGACAAGAATTACCCTATACCAAAAATTGTGTATATTTGCAGGCAACATCTGCGAGCCCGTATGAAGTAAGGCGCATTTTCACGATGGGTCTTCCATTCACGAACAACCATGGAGGACAACTTCTTTTCGGACCTGCGGATGGATATTTATACTTCATGATGGGGGATGGAGGGAATAAAGGGGACCCTCTTAATTTTGCACAGAATAAAAAGGCTTTGCTAGGAAAAATCTTGCGCCTCGACATAAATAACATGCCAAGTGAGTATACATAGAAAAAGAACAGACAATCAGTTAGAAGCTCTTTCATTTCGTCTGTTTTCTTTTCCTGTAAACTAACCTAGCAATTTTAGTTCAAAGCAAGATAGATGACCTCGGTCTTTGGGGAAACTATTCGATTCCTAAGGACAACCCGTCCGCTGATGACAGTGAATTGCAACCTGAGATATGGGCCCTCGGACTGAGAAATCCATGGCGTTGCAGTTTTGATTCAGAACAACCTTCTTATTTTTTCTGTGGAGATACCGGCCAGGTAATTCGAATGCAACCCTTTTTACCTTCGAGCATTCGTCCAGGCCTTTTATCATGTGTGATTTGGTATGCTGCTAGGTCATGGTATTATCTTGCGGAAATGAATATGATCAATTTATAGTTTTTTGGTTCAAAACACTCTTGTAACTTTCAGATTTTATCACAAAACCTCCCTTTAACTTTGAGATTATATCAGAAAAGCCCTCTAAAGTCAGCAGCATTTTCTGATAAATCTCAAAGTTAAAAGGAGTTTACTGATAACCCCTAAAATTTTACGGAGGGGGGGCCGGGGCGGGTGATATATTTGCTTACGTTCGACTAATCTAATGTTTGAGACCTTGTTACTGCAGGATGGATATGAAGAAGTGGATTTGATCTCCAAGGGAGGAAATTACGGGTGGCGTGTTTATGAAGGCCCCAATTTATTTCAACCCTCTTCAACTCTTGGAGGCAATACATCTGCTGCCTCCATTGATGCTATATTTCCTGTTATGGGTTATCCCCATTCTGCTTTGAATAACAGTGTTGGATCCGCCTCAGTGACCGGCGGTTATGTCTACAGGTCCACCACAGATCCATGCATGTTTGGAAGGTGAGTTGAAAGCTACTGAATCACCTAAGAATACATAAAAATGCATATGTATATCTTCAAGGTCCTTGCCGCTGCACAAGGAAAAGTTCAAAGTTGTGGT